AAGCATGATCGGAACTGAAGGTGCCTGTCGGATGAGAGGTGTGTGAACGGGAATCTGCACCAACATTATGACTCAGGCTGAGAATAAAAACATGGGTGGGCCTCGCATCACCCCCCTCCCCCCCCACACACACACACACACACACACACACATACACACACACAGCACTGAAATATCCAGGAATCAATACGGAAAGGGGCTGATCAGCTAAATGAACCATTCTACAGACTCCAAAAGAGTCTTATCAGCATTCCAGATGTGAACTCAACATTTCACTTAAGTGTGGTGGAATTTCACAGGAAGGTAGGAAACGTGCTTGGTGTCCCCGTGAACTGCAGCTGGAGGGACTGTGGCGTCTCTCCTGCATCCAGGAGGATTTCAGCAAGACTAAAGGGCGGTTATTAAAACTTCATGCCTCAACAGCTCAGACACAAGATGACCAGGGCCAGCCTGGTGATGCTGTGGGCCGCCAACCTGGAGCTCCAATAATATCCAGCTATGACTCATTCATTTGTCAGGAGTGACTGATGAACTCTTCATTTTCTGAGCACCTACAGAGAATCAGTGTGAGGAAAGTCGCCAACATCTGCTGTGTTTGTGAGGAGCATCTGGAAGAACCATATGCTGATCCACTCACACATCAAATGGTTTACAAACCCAGGGGAGCAACAATAACCAGCCCATCCACATTTGTTGTTTTTCTTACACTCAACGACCTTTAAATCACAAATACGGTCTTGTCTTATGATCTTACTTTAATAAATTACAAAACCTCTTGCTAGCTTAAAAACAGCAATAAGCAATAGAGCGATGTGAGTTGTGGTAGCACATGAAATAAAAACAATTTCTGTTCATAATCTATAAACACGTTAGATTAAAAGCAGCTGGTTGCTGCTGAGGATGAGGAAGCCTCCCGATCTCCATGAGGTCCACACCCATCCATCCGTTGCAGTCGTGGTTTCCGTTCCTTCCCCCGTTCGAGGTTTAAAAAGGAAACGGAAAATCTAAGTTCGAGGAGAAAGTAGACAAAAAGCTGCTCTCACCGTATTTAGACTCTGGGTTTTTCTCCTCCAGCTCCATTCTCGCGTTCTGCTCGGCTCCTGCTGCTAGTCAGACTTCAGACGGAACAGTTTCCATGGAAATGTCGCGGTGTAAAACACCAATAACAGACCGAGCGCGAGCTACCGAGCCGAGAGAAGGGTCACGGCGCATTCCAACGTAACGGAGAGCAGAAGCAGCCAATCAGAGAGCGGGATTTGGTGACTGACAGCTCGTTCGGCTAATCAGAACGCTAGAGGCTAAACAAGCCAACCTTACCGCGGTGGAACGCAAAGGGTGTGGAAATAATTGCGATTTATATGGAAACACTGATTAAAGGAATGGTTTAGTGTTAAAAACTAAACCTTTAGGTTAATTTAACTCGAATTAATGAAACACAACCCATGACCTCAGTTCAAGACCCCAGAAGTGCTGATGTTTGTAGAAAAACAATTTATTCTGGCGTAATTTGGGTTTAATTGTATTTCAGATTTTCCTTTCAGGAAAAAATAAATTTACTCTCCCTAAACCACCGCTTCAATTTATTTTTACATAAATCTTCAGATCATTTTGTTATAGAAGAGAATTAGTGCCACAGAAAAAAGAGAAAAGGAAAAAATCTGACTTTAAATTTCAGAATTTTGAGAAAAATCAGAATTCTGAGATTCTTAATTCTGACTTTTTTTAAAGAGCAAGTCACCCCCTACAAGAAACTTACTCCACTCCCACTTCATGTTTGAAAAATGCAACAAATGCTGTTGCTTGGCAGACCGAGAGGGCGGAGCCGCTAACAAATACACACACACACAGGCTCACAATGGCATTATGACATCATAATATACCAGATGACATCATAGCATACCTCTTAGCCAATAGCGGTGGCAGATTTAAATTCAAATACAGTGCAGAATTTTTCCCTGACGACAGCGCAACACTGACAGTTTTAGGCAGAATATTTGAATTTTAACCAAGATGCACTGAACTGCCAAATTATTGACTACACGTGTCTGTAGCATGATTAGACACTCCTTTATATAGTTTATCAGCAACAAAAATGTGATTTGGGGGTGACTTGCTCTTTAAATTCTTAGATTAAAGTCACAATTTATTTTCTTTTCAGTGGCACTAATCCTCTTCCGTTTATTGTAGTTTGAAAAAGTGATTGTGTTTAAATTTGACCAAATTCTGAAAAACATGTGATACTGTGACCATGCTGTCTATGGATGACAACATTTTTTGTCTTTGAGTGAGATTATACTGCGTTTTTATGGGATTTTACAGTAATAATTAGAACATTTAAAACTTGTAGTTATTTAGGAAACCCACAATCATCACAAAGGAAATAATGACAGTGTTTTAGATGAGTCAGACAAGGGTGAGCTGATACTCTTAGTTATCAGATAACCTTCTTTTATGTTGTTGTTGTAAGATTCTGTCACTTCCTCACATCAGCACCAAAAATGTCTGCAACATAAAATAATCTCCGTGGCCTTCCGGCTGAAACAAAACAGTCCTTGGACAGATACAGAATTTGGGAGTATCACATATCTTTACATACCTCAATTCACCGAAACAGTCGACCGCAAAAGTGTCATGTGCAGCTTTACCGGGAAAAGTCATGAATAATTTAAAAGTATGAAACGCAATCAGGTTCCTGAGGACAAAAACTACAAAAACACATCCCGTAAAACAACAGCCAGCAAGTCAGTGTAATAACTAAACACGCACATTCCTGCTTCCGGAGCTTTTATCTTTGTCATTTGTTGCTCTCTTGTTTTTTTAAGGTTATTGAAATATATTTTTAAAGCCCAAATCAGGAAGATTTTGACTGGAATAAGGGGGGAAATAATTCATCGCTTAACCTGAGATAATCCAGCCAGAATGTGTGATTTTATTGGTTCTTTACTGGCTGAATCAGTGTGACAGAGCCAATCATGGCAGAGATCCCAGCAGGAGGAAGACGAAGGCCAAGAGCATCCCATCTGCGGATGGATTTACCGTCAGTGGAGTAAAAACCTACGCTTTAAGGTCTGGATGACCTCACAGGGAATTTCTGTCAAACCTTTACTAGTTAAAGTAGGACAGATATGGTGCTGGTGCGTAGACACTGATGCTACATAACTGAGGGGAATGACGTGCAAAATTAAAACCCAGTAACTGTTTTATAGCAGTGTTTTACTTGATTCTGCAAAAGCAACTACATCTAATGTTATGCTTTAGAAAACTGTGACATCACAGTGCCCGTCATAAGGGTTCCGGTTCCCTGGCCTTGCAGCGCACTCTGGACTGGTGTGTAAACAGCTCGTCTTCAGATGTGTTCTCAAACGTTTTCAGCAGATGCAGAAGTAAAGATGGTTGACAAGCAGACAAAACGTGCAACTGTCCAGAAAAACTCTGGGAGGAAAAGGACCTGCAGATCAGGAGCACTAGTGAGGGCAGAGGCCTCAAGAAAAAACACAGGATCTGCAGATACAACGCAACACCACCAGAGGTCAGTGTTGTACAAATGTAGGTTAGCCCAGCTGGAAAGACTTAATGCAGAGGTGTTTTCTAAATAATTAAGATGATCTTTATGGAATAACTTGGTTCCACAGCAGTGAATTTATTACTAAATGTGAGAAGAGTTTGTTTATTTTATGTTGTTTAGCCTCTATCCAGCGCAGAGCCATATTGGCAACAAAAACATTATGTCATCTAATTTTTGTGTTAGCCTCATATCAGCAGCTGTAACTGGTGGGAAAAGTAAAATATATTATTAATAATAATAATAATACATTTTGTTCGTAGCGCCTTTCAGGACTCTCAAAGTCGCTTTACAGAAATTGCATAATACAGATAAAACAGTCCTCAGCAAGTTAAAATTACAAATCAGTCAATCAATTAAACAAATACAAGTTAAAAGTGAAAACCAGTAAGTGCTAAAATACTAGACTAAAGGTTAAAAATAAAAATATAAACAAATACATCAAGTAATCAGTCAATATAACGTTATCATAAAGATACACATTACCCATTAAAATCTACATAGTAAAGCTGAATTACAAACACAATCAACTAAAATCAAATTAGGCGTATTCAGTTGTGCTTGGGTTTTCAAAGATGATCTAGTTTTGGCTTCTTTCTGATCTTAGAAGCAAAACTTTAAGGCTGACCTAACAACAAAACGTGGATCAAACGATCATAGAAATAGAATCATAGAAATGCGATTAGTTTTACATAAAACATGAACTTTATGTGCTCTATTGTTGGGGGATCTACTCGAAAAATAGATGACTCATCTCAAGTAGTTTTATCCTCATAAATATAAGTTAATAAATAAACAAAAACCGTGGTCATCATAATTTGTGACATCTGTGAAATCAATGTCTTTGCATGAGTTGAATGTAGCTCTACCTGCAGCTATGCATCTGCAGCAGAGCACGAACAAACCCCGATGTGCTGCTTTTAATGTCCAAAAATACCAAAAAAATTTCTAAACATTGCTCGTCTCGTCTTCTTCCGCCTATCCGGGTCACGGAGCAGCATCTCAACGAGGGAGTTCCAGACCGTCCTCTCCCCGGCCACCTCCACCAGCTCCTTCGGTAGGGCCCCAAAGTGTTTCTGGGCCATTTCGGAGATGTACTTTCTCTAACGTGTCCTGGGTGGACCAGGGGGCCTCCTGCTGGCTGAAACATGCCTGAAACACCTCCCTAGGGAGGAGTCCAGGAGGCGTCCTAACAAGACGCCCAAACCACCTCAACCGAGTCCTCTCGATATGGAGGTGCAGCGGCTCTACTCTGAGTCTCTCCCGAATGTCCGAGTTTCTCACCCTATCCCTAACGCTGAGCCCGGCCGCCCCGCGGAGAAAACTCATTTCGGCCGCTTGCATCTGCGATCTCGTTCTTTCGGTCATTACCCAAAGCTCATGACCGCAGGTGAGGACTGGGAGGTAGATGGATTTACTTGAAATAATGAGAAATGAGTTTGTTACTGAAGTTGTTTATTTTCAATCTATTTTAAAACATTGTGAAAAAAACATGAACGTTTGCAGTTTTACACTGAAGTCAAATGAAGGATCCTTTAGACAAAGAACCAAAACGAAACAGAACAATAACTGCAGCAACATTTGGACCTGAAAACACGAATCTAGTCCTTAGCATGAACAAGGAGAGTAAGTTATGGTTCTGACATTTGGGTTATAGCCAGACCCTCTCGGAGAGACGCCAGAGCCTGGACGGCCTCCAGGAGCTCTTGGTTGAGCTTAGCGCAGCTATCCAGAACCTCGAAAAGCTCCTGGATCTTCCCCTGCATATCATCGCTGTTCTTCTCGTAGACTTTGTACATGTCCTCCCTCATCTTCTGGCACACCTCTGTCACCTGAAAGAGTGAAATGATCCGACCACAAACCAGATCAGAAAAACAATCGTAACTTGGGCCTCATGCGTAAAACACAACAGTACCTTCTCTTGTAACTTCTCGTGAAAGCTGTCCATCACTTGCTGGTCGCTTGTGCGGTTCTGGTTAATTTTTTCCACCAGTTCCTGCGCTCGTCTGCTGATGTTCCCTGTGCTTGAGCTGTAACTTATTAAATCAGAACCGAATACCAGCGGGTGACGTTCTGAGGTCTCAACACAACAGACGTACTCTTCTTTGGACCGGACTTGCTGCTGGTCATTTGGTACACTTTCATTTATAAGGCCATGCTTGGATTACTACCCAACTACATCTGTGACTTCATCTGACGCTGCAGTTAGTGTTCTGTCTGCTCGTACCGAACTGGGCTAAAGGGCTTTCGTTCGCTATGCTCCTTCTGCACAGAACAGGCTGCAGAAAAACTGGAAATTAACAGAGTTTATCTCCTTGAATACATCTAAAACCAGACTGAGAGCCCTTGAGATGAACTCCCTGTGTCGTAACTGCCTTCTTTAATTTTGCACATAACATGTCTGTATAACTGAAACATCTGTAACTGTAACTTTTGCTGCCTCTCGGCCAGGACTCCCCTGAAAATGAGGTTTTTAATCTCAATGGGACCTTCCTGGTTAAATAAAGAATACATACATACATACATACATACATACATACATACATACATACAAACAAACATACATACATACATACATACATACATACATACATACATACATACATACATACATACATACATACATAAATAAATAAATAAATAATGTACTGGCACTGCTGCTCTTGCATCTCCGTCGTGTTGCTGGTTGAGGATTCTTCTCTCGATGAATCAAATCCTGCGCCTTCTGACTGTAAGACGGTCCAAAACAAACATAAGCGTAGCGTGAGAAAAACAGTCAAACCAAATGACAGAAAACATGAAACCTTTCACAGCATTTAGCAGATTTGTTTGTGTTTTTTTTATTCTAAATCTTTCAAAAGTGAATAAATGAAGTACACTTTATGCTTGGGGCTTACATCACACGCTGATGGGACTGGTTAATGGTAAATCGCCTGCATTTGTATAGTCGAAGTTCCCCAAAGCGTTTTTCACTATGGTCGTTCACCATTGATGGTGATGAGCTGTACTGTCACCACAGACTGACAGGCACAAGGTCACACAGTCATTGGCATTGGGCCTTCTGACCACTGGCCAGCCCATTAATTACAGGGCAACCATTCAGCTTCATGTCACTGCATCCATAAATCTCCTTTTTGGTCTTCCTCGTGTCTCCTGCTTTGCAGTTCCAACATAAACATCCTTCTATCGATCTGTCCACCATCCCTCTTCTCTATTTTGCCCAAACCATCTGTCTGGCCTCTCCGATCGTATCTCCTAATCCGAACACGAGTTGTCCCTCCGATGGACTCATTCCTGATCCTATCCATCTTTGTCACTCCCAAAGAGAATCTCAACATCCTCCCACCTTCTCCTTAATGCCGCTGTCTCTAAACCAACTCAGATCCCTGTCACCTCTCTGTTCACTTGGGTCTTTCTTGCATTTTTTGTTAGCAAAATATTTAACATGGTTGACAAATCAACAATTTCTAGACACAATTGTGCATCTTGCCCACACGGTTTTATATATCCTTTATGTTATTTTAGTGTTTTCCTTACCATCCTGGATACTTCATGTTCTCCATGGGAGGTGGATGGAAACTCTTCAAAGCAAAAATCCATTATGACCTGAAGTAATCCAGAAAAATCAAGATTAAATAACATTTTTCATCCAATTATCACGTAAAGCTGCTCTCGAGCCTCAGCATAAAAAAGAGATGTACCTGTTGTGATCAATCAGACGTCTTTTAATTAAAAATAAAAATACTTTTGTAAATCTGTCCTTTATTTACCAGTCATAATCATTCCTATTTGTGGTTGTTTATGGCAGCAGGATGTAAAATTAAACATAACTATCTTATATTCAAGTCAACATGATCTCACTCTGAATTTTAGAGCTTTGCAATAAAGTAAATAACTCTGATTTAAACTCGGTGTTCACATGTCAAATCTAAATCTATCAATAATAAAAATAAAAACACAGCTTTGATCAATTAAATCTACTTTAATAAACAACTTAACTTCTTGTCACTCAGCAATGTTTGAGCTAGCAACTAGATCCCTTTAGATACTCCTCCAGTTTAGCTTTACATGTAACAAAACACAAAAAAGACGTTTCTTATGTAAACCATTACGTGTTTTAATAAAATTAACGACTAAAAGAAGGATAAAATAAACAAATCCACCAAAGTAACTTGCTGCCAAACGCTAACTGCAGCTAGCTTGTTACATGCTAACGTCTGGCTAGCTAGCTCATGTGCCTTTTTCAACAAATAAATCTACAAATCCCGCTTATTTTTCACATTGACACAAGTTTACCTCAAAACCCGAACGTAGAATGTATTTTTGTAGCAAATATATTTGTATTTTGTGTGTATTTGGTTAGCATGTGAAGCTGGTCTCACCTAGCTAGCATCTGCACCACAACCTCCAGTTAAACAACACTCCACTTAGGAAACCTGCTGTTATAAAAAAAAAAAGTTTTGTTTTAAACATTATTATTAGCTTCGTAAATGAGGTAAGCTTAAATATGCATACTGAATTATAAATGTGTTTTTGGATTAGGGACTATTTTCTGTTGGATTTATTTGGTCTAGTAAATTCAGGTGTTCCAATGTATTCTTTAAGTTAAGGCATTTTTATTAAATACCTGTATACATTTTCTATGTATTTGTATTTAGAGTAATTATTTTTAGACGTGTGGTTGTGAGTCTTTTATCTGTGGAGACAGGAGTCACAAGGCTGCTGTGGATTAAATGCCCTCCTCTTCTCTGGGCTGGGATTGGGTATCGGGGTTGGGATGAGGTGATGATTGATCTCTGTGGTGATTTGATGTAATCCCTCTCTCTTCCTCTCCCTCCCTCTGTGACTGCCTTCAGTCTGGATTATGTCAGGACAGAGGAAACAGCACTGGTCGCTGGAAATGTCACGATGCCTCTTCAGCTGATGAGATGCTGCTTTGAAGAATACGATTCTGATCAGAGGGTTTATGGTGTCCTTACATACACATCAACGAAAAACAGCAAAAATCCAAATGTGTTTGCTCTTGAAATTGCAAAGTAAACTCCAGCCTTGGATAGGTGAGTGAAATTATTCATTAATATAACATTTTTAACTTTAGATTTGTATAATCACAGCTATTGTCTGCATTTTAGGAAGTTTCCTCTCCACAGGAAAAGAAAACTTCACCTGGGAGCTGTGTTTCTCTGAATGCATCAGAGTATTTACTCATCAGTGGAGGAAGTAGAAGCTCCTGTGAAAATATGGACAGCTTCAACGAGACAGACGCCACAGGACAATCGTTCCAGTATCTGGTACAAAATGTGGAGCCGCTGTACAAGCAGTACAAGCCTCCACCCAGGGACCTCATCCAGTTGCCCAAATCAGTGCTCTACCTTCTCATGGCTGCCCTGGTCGTGGTCGCCGTGGCGTATGCTATCGTCGGTCATCTCATTAAAGATCTCATGCTGGATATAACAGGTACTTGGCTCAGCCAGAGGCAACACATAAGCTGTACAACAGAATTCTTGATCTGAGCATGAGCAATTCAGGCTTTTAGCTGCTGTCCACTCTCAAACATCAAAAATTGTAGGACTGAGTGATGTAACAGGTTTATGGTGCTTCTTTAAACACCGATCAAATGTTTAGATCTAGGTTCAGAACTTAGCTGTGTGTTTCTGTTGGCCATGTGGCGGTCTGGTGGTCTGGAGTGCACCTTCGTCCCTAGCTGTGACGGATCTAGGATTCTTCTGATTATGGGGCCATTGAGGGGACACAATATTCATGGAATGGCCAAGTTTTTGTCCCAACATCCTTACGCAGGATTTCACGCTGGAAATATCTATTTGGCTCATCAGCACCCCTAGTGTTGGACGTGGAATTGCATCCACCTTTAATCTGATCATGCACAAAGGACAGATGATTGACAGGACAGGGGCACTTCAGAGAGCCAATCAGATTTCAGCAGGGGCCATTTCCCCTGTGGCCTCACTTCTATTTGTATAATATTTGCTCCACATTTAGGATCCTGAAGAGTCTGAAACACACGCAGCAGATTTTACAGGTTACATACAACTATTTACAATAACAGTCGACTTTATATTTCTTTCTTTGTGTGTCTGATATAAAGCACCACAGTTAAGAGCCATCTCTCTTGTGGTACAGTGGTTTGTGATGCAATGCATTGTGGGATAATTTCCTGTTCCAAGTCTGCAGAAGGATGCATTGATGCATCCTCACTGCAGCGGGCTGTGCAAGAACACATCTGGGAACTTGAGCGAGCTTGCCATGATACGTACTTAGGATTGGAACAGTACTTGGACCATCACTGATGACATTTCACAAGTACATGAGTACACAAGTTCAGACGAGTGTGTGTATTCAGAAACGGCCATGTTTTCGTTCTGAGAATCAAGGAGAAGTTGGCATGGAGAAATCAACAAAAAGTGTTCTGCTTATGATGTTGCTGGGCTGTAACAAATGACCCAAACCCACAGAAGAACATCAGGGTGAAAACCTGCTCCCTCAGTTTTTGCTGTTTGATCTAAGCATGTTTTATTAAAACAGGATGTATTGTCACAGCACCTTCTCAGGGTTCTGTAGCCGCCCAAGGTGCTTCACAACACAGTCATCCACCCATTCACACGCTGCATAACCGAAGTGAAATGTCTTCATGTGATTTAGAAACATCATCAAAGCTTCTCAACATCGTAGATTCATGTTTTCATTTGTAGATGATTCCTAACTCCTGGTGTTTCATTTAATTCTGTTTACCTGCCCAATCTGAGAGCAAAAACCAAGCTAAACGCAACACCTGCTGCACCGTGGCACCAATGTTAATGCTAGATTTTCACAACCTCAGACACCTTTTGGGCTCATAGGGTTGAGCTCTGACTAGATGTTAACATTTCTCCCTGATTGTTAAGAGTTGGAATTATTCTGACTGCTGCCTGAATGTCTTTGCTCAAACCCTTAAAGAGCAAGTCACCCCCTATCAGAGTATAACTCCACTCCCACTTCCTGTTTGAAAAATGCAACAAATGCTGTTGCCTAGCAGACCGAGAGGGCGGAGCCGCTAACAAATACACACACAAACAGGCTCACAGCGACATTGTGACATCATATGGTACCAGCTAACGGTCTAGGGTACCTCTTAGCCAATAGCGATGGCAGATATAAATCCAAATGCAGTGCAAAACTATTGACTACACGTGTCTGCAGCACGATTAGACACGCATTTATGTAGTTTATCAGAAAAAAAGAGTTGATTTAGGGGTGACTTGCTCTTTAACAGTCCCATCCTCTTCTCTGAGGACAACACGTTATTATTTGTTTTTGTGTTGCATACGATAACAAATGTTTTTGTGATCTTGGAGAAAAAATTGAACCATTTTCAAATGACCTTATTTTAACATTTTCTTTGCTTACAGACTGTTTGCTAGGGCCGCTGGAGGAGGAGCTAAAAAAAGATGGAGAGGGTGAGGGGGTCAACCCCCTCCACATGCCACCGGCACTGACCCACTCCCACCCAAACGCCTTCCATGTGTGGGACCAGGATGACATCATCATCCCCATCACGCCCCCCACTGACAGCCCGATGGCCAGCCCTCTGCTGTCTGTCATCCCATACATCCCATCCTTTTTCCCCACCGCCCTCAACGTGAGCACCCCTCCCCACAACCAGCCCCTCCCAAAGGAGAGCGATGCTTAAGGCAAGAAATGGAACGCACCCCTTAGTCCTCAGGTCCAGGTTTCACATCTTTTCTCCAGCGACTCCTCGGTCACGTTGGAAACAAACGTCCAGACTCTCCTTACTCCTTCTCTGGGAAGAGTGAGAAAAGGGATTTTAAGGATCCACTTCCTTTGTGTCGAGGCGAAAGGCAGAAAATCCTCCCGGCGCTCCAGCTGGAGCAGAGCTGGGAAAGCCAGTTGGACTGCCTTCATTTGTTGTTTCCCCCAGTGGATTTGTGCCAAACCCGACATCACAGCCGCAGAACCGCCACTTTCATCCGGTTGCAGGATCTTTATACAGCTTCCACGAGGAAGCTGGGTCTAAAGAGCTTCTGCTCACCCACCTAATCCCCACGTATAATTAGCTCATGTTTGGATATTAACAGGAACGCTGACCTCGGTTAATGCTGGATCACCTGAAAATCACACCTCAAAGCTTTAACTGAACTCTTCTTACGTGTTTTCATGTGTTGTTGGAGTAAAAACACCCAAAGATGGAAAAGGAGAAGTTTCTCCACAGAAGGGACGTGTCGTTTTTGCATCAAATGAAAGTAAAGGACGGTTTCCATGGTTACGTATGCTGACACAGTCCTATTCTGCTTCTAAAAATTCCCTTAAGAAGATTGGCCTTGCTTGTTAGGATGAAGATAATTCAATTAGTTAAGGCAGAGGTGTCCAATCCTGGTCCTGGAGGGCCGGTATCCAGCAGGTTTTGTGGTTTTTCTACTCAAACAGACTTGATTCGATGGTTGAAACACCTGTGCAGCAGCTCATCAGGCTCTGCAGAAGCCTGTTAATTAGCTGCTGATTGAAATCAGGTGTGATGAAACAGAGTTCAAACTAAAACATGCAGGACACCGGCCCTCCAGGACCAGGATTGGATACCCCTGAGTTAAGGTGACCACTTCAACATGACTGTGTGCTAAAGATCCAAAGAGTTGGAGAAGAAAGGAAACATCCACATCAGGTTACATTCCTCCTAACATGAGTTCTTACAAAGGTTAGAAAGGTTCCTTCTGAAGGCATTTTAGCAGGGGCGCCTCCAGAAAATTTTGATAGGGGTGGCCAGATGGGGCCAAAGAAATTTTTGGGGTGGCACACCAAATTGGTGGTTGTGGTAACTCTGGTTGAGTTTAGCCTGTGGCGATGTGCTGCATTGCGTCCTTATTCATTTTTATTACAATAACAGTACGTATCCAAAACATTTAACTTAAATTTTACAAACACAAACATTTTATGGCCTGGCCTGTATTTGATATAGCGCCTTCTAGAGTCCTGGAACCCCTCAAGGTGCTTTACAACACAATCAGTCATTCACCCATTCACACACAAATTCACACACTGGTGGGGATGAGCTACGATGTAGCCACAGCTGCCCTGGGGCGCACTGACAGAGGTGAGGCTGCCGAGCACTGGCGCCACCGGTCCCGCCGACCACCACCAGCAGGCAACGTGGGTTAAGTGTCTTGCCCAAGGACACAACGACAGCGACAGACTGAGCGGAGCTCGAACCTGCAACCTTCCGATTACGGGGCGAGCGCTTAACTCCTGTGCCACCGTCATAGAAAAATACATTTCAGTTATTTAAAATGTTATCCATAATTTAATTTAAAAATGAATTTTTTTAGGTTAATTCACCTGTTGCTGTGTTCACAAAAAAAACTATGGAGATAAAAATGTTTTAAAATGGTGAGCAGCAGAAACAAATGTATTTAAAAAAATTCTGATTATTTATTTACTCATTAATTGTAATATTTTATTTTGTTTGACAATTATGTCTTGAATAAACAAGAACGATGTATGGTTTGACTGAACATTAATATGATTTGTTAACACTGGCTTTTCCTGGGGGAGCCAGCAATTTTCCAGGGGTGGCCATGGCCACCCCTGGCCACCCCTTGGGGGCGTCCTTGCATTTTAGAGGCTGTAAAATTGATGAAACATCACAACAAAATGGCATTAATGCTGATTTATTTGTTAGACATGTTTGTGTTCTGTGTGGAATGAAACAGCGGAAACGTGGAGCGCTCTTTATCAGCATTAAATAAATCGTGTTACACAACAGAAAATACCAGATTTCTGGGTCCATTTTTAAGCAGGATTTGGGCTCAGATGCAAAAATCTGGGGCTGTTTGAAACACACAAGACTTCAATGACTTTAATCTGTGTTTTTACATCAATTCCTACAGGTTTCTCCTGTAAAGTATTAATTATTTCTATTATTATTCATATTAATAATATTCTGGAGGTCTCAGCTGACATTGCTGATCTAATCGGTGAAAACCAGAGTGCTGGTGTTTGGTTAGGTAGGGAGATTATGGGTGAGATTAGATGAGCAGCTTGGAAGCAAAACAGCCTTTTTATTAAATCTGAGCTTTAGAACGAGATGATTGGAGCACCGTGGCCAAACCTGAGAGGATGAATGTCAGAATCTCAAAATGTTGCTCCGGCTGTCGATCGAGTATCAACAGGAGAATCTGGACAGTTTTCTTTAATTATTTTATTTATTTATTTTTTCCGTGTCCTGTCTGGCTGTGAAGCAAACAGAATTGGTGTCTGAATGCTGGTAACAAGCCTTACAGATTTACTCTCAGGTGGAGCATCAAAGCGTCTGCTTTTAATGTCACGCCTGATACTTAAAACTTTATTGTTGTTGTTTTGGAATGCTTGTAATTCCGACCAGACACGGAGACAGAGGTGAAAGAGAAAGGAAAAGACAAAAGGTGGGGAGAAGGGGGGAAGGGGGTGGATGAATGTTTTTCATGGCGCGGTATGTGGGAGGAAACCGGAGCGCCCAGAGAAGACCCGCACATGCATTTGGAGAACATGCGGACACTATTCAGAAACCGTGCAGCCCGCTACGCCACCCCGCAGCCCGCTCAACCGAATGTGACCGAAAAAAAAAAACACTGAACCTAATCCTCGTCTGCAGACAAAACATTAAAGCTGCGGCGGCCGTGGTCAGCACAGCTGGAACCTGTGAACCAGAGCGGGAACCGGGATTGATCACATCGACAGGAAGCTGGAGGCAGCAGGCCCAAACTGGAACTTTTGACACAATCACAGTTTACCTGTCGTTAAAACAAGGACACACATTCCATCTGACAGGGTTGAACCCACATGACACTGATGTCTCCGCTCTGTTCCACCTGGATCAGGCGATCTGCAGAGGATGAGTCAGCAGTTTGTTTAAAAACGTGAACTCTGAATGAGAGCGGCGTTCTCATGAACTTTAAACTCTGATTTCAGATCAGCAGATTCTCCATAAACCAGCCTGCGCTGCTGCTCAGTTGACTGATGAGTCAGCATCAGCTGATTTATCTAAACAAAAACAAAAATCCTGAGCTTTCTTCTAACACTGAGGAAAGAAACAGGTTGTACGACTCCCTACAACCAACACAGACGCACGTGATTTCTTTTTTTTTTAATGGTCTTTCATCATCGACCTCTTCTGTCGTCCTTTCCAAAGACCCCCTTTAAACCGTGAAACTGAAAATACAGGATTGTTCAGTTAGAACAAATACAGTAATGTGCAGCAAAAATAGAGACAAATAAATACCTCGTTGGCTTAAAACAATAGGGAATCTATCTTTCTTCTTCAGTCCTTTCATTAGTTATTTCTCTAGCAATGGACTGAATGCTTTCAGTCCGTGCTCAGCTGTCTGCTTGCCAGCACTTCATCCAGGTGTGTGATCTTCACACACCTTCTTCTTCTTGAAAAAGGCAGGCTGGATGCCAAAAGGCGTATTGCTGCCACAACAACCAACACAGCCCAACCAGCGCCACACCCATGCACACATAGCCGCCATCAGCAAAACCCCCACCATCACCAGCAGCACTCACCCCCAGTGAACAGCTTTGTAAGAAAACTTACCTCACTACAATCACCCCCATCACCAAGGGCGTCACACTACCCACAGCAGACCCAGACCCAGACCCCCCAACCCAGCGCCAACACACAGTCCCCCAAACCTCCTCGGGGGACACGTCACCAAACCCCAAAAAGGTCTCTGCAGCAACAGTCACCTCGCGAGCAACATCCGACTTGTTGGTCGCTACATGCTTCGCTCTCCACAAGTCCTCTACCACCACACCCACCCCCTCATCCACACCACCTGCCGATTGAAGCCCCGAACCCAACCCACCACCACTCTTAACCCACATACGACGCACTGCCTCCACACATGACACCTCATGCTCCGCCTGAAACTTTTCCACCTCCACCGCCGACCCATACGCCTCACAACCCCTAAAAGCAGCCTGATGGGCCCCACCACAATTACAGCAGCGGAACGGCCAATCACAGTCTTAACACACCTGCTTTGCATCCATCATTAAAGGTGTGGCTGGCAGAGCAGCTCAAATGTAGCTTTTCAAAATAAAAGTCCATGTACAGGAAACACAAAACAGCCTTCCTTTTCAACCCTGCTCTGTGGAGCTGAGTGAGTTTCAGAGGCGGTTCGATAAACATGATTAGTTTAAAACCAAACCATGACTGTGCAAAAAGAAACAAAAAAGGGAAGTGAAACGTTAGACAGACAAAAAAAGGAAAGAAATTAAAGAAGAAACAAATTGCATTCTCCTCCACCTCTTCATGCGCTCGCCACCTATAAACCCACATTTCCCGTCATCTCCGTATGCAAATAAAACGCTTGCTGCGTACCTTTTTACTCCTCCAGTCACGAGTGAATAAATGTTCATATTATTTAGAGTTTTTCTGCAAGGTTTTCTTCGCTAGATATCTCCGGCTTTCCTTATGTTTTTGAGTGGCGGCCTCCTGACCAATCACAAGCTTGAATTCTCTCTCTTGTTCAACAGACTTTTAGAAAAGCGGGCTTGACTCCGACCGTGCTTGCCAGCTTGATGGGGCGCCCTCACAAGGACGGATAAAGGCATTGCGTGTCTCCGGATCGATGCGGACGCATAAACTAGGCTTAAGCCCCTCCCCCAGGGTACGACTCACAAGGCACTCATTCCTACTGGAGACCGCTGCACTTGTATCCGTTAAAGGAGTGAACCGCACCTTTAATGCAAAAACTGCATTGAAGGTTTTAAGACGTAAAGAAAGTATCAAACTGAACCTTAGTGCTTTTAAAAACTCAAACATGAAGAAAACATCTTTTATTGCTGATTAAGACGTACTGTGTAGGCCTGATAGAGCTTAGAAGTGTTTCTATTATTTACTTTTATCTTAATTTGCTCTCTCTGCACGGCAGGAAGTTGCATCAACGATGATCTGGACTCCAACACTGACCCCTCAGGTCGTGTTTATTGTAGTTTGGTCACAAAGAGCCACTCTGAGAGGCCGAAGAGCCTCGTGGCTCCAGAACGGAGACCTGTGGAGGTTTTCTTCAGGGGGATTTACGCAGGTAAGCAGGATCCTCACCTGACCTTTATCCTCAGATGACCTCAGCCATCTTCTTTAGCTCTGGCTGGGATCCGTCAGTCCTGCTCTTAGGCTGATGGCGCATTACACTAACAGACTGAAATACAACCTAATTGGATCTGGAACACCCCCAACGTGTGACCTCATCATGGTCTTTAATGGCGACCACAGCAGGCAGAAGCAAATACATCTAATCAGCGTTAAAACGATCAACAATCCGAGTAAAACGGTAGAAAACAGCTGCTTCTGGGTTCCAGGTTAATTGCCATTGGGTGGCTTAGTTTATGGGGAACGCTTCGGCTACCCGTCTGCCGTCGTTCTGGCTAATCCGCTGTTGGCAGGCCAGCTCGTTCCCTGTGACGAATCAAAGAACAGAACAGTCTTGTCCCCCCGTGCCCTTCAGCAGCAGCCACACGCGATTTAAATCATCTAAATGAGGAGAAATCCATTTTAATTATGGAAGAAAGACTTTCTCTTCACCTACAGCTGCTGGTTTTAGTAGATTTTTCTGACAACGATGCATCATTTGGTACCAGAAAGAATAAAAACTCTATTATTGCCATACAGGTCGTTTTACTTGGGAACAAAAAACTTTATTTTTCTTTATCGGACAAAACAACTGAAGCCCTCCCTGATCTGTGACGAGGCTTTAATGAACAGACCCGAGTCTCTAATCTGCACCAGGATTTAGTTTAAAGACCAGTCGTGTCCGACCTGACGTCACGCGCACTTTGTTGTTTTATTGATGCAAATGACAACGTTCACCAGCTGATTCTGGACACGTGGTTTCATCCACTGGACCAGAACCGATACCAAACGTCTTGTTCTCAGAGGAATTGTCGGTGATAACAAATCCTGTGAAGTTTGTCAGATCAAGCAAACCAAAGATTACAAAACACATTTATTTAGCACACATTTAAGTCAAATAAAATAGATTTCTTTAAAACGTTAAAAATCACTGACAGTACAAAGTTAAAGCAGGATGATTGATTTGCTTCTGCGGAATAATCCCAGCTTCTCCCGTTGCGGGTCTACCGGAACTCCCTCTGGGACAGGACGGTCCGGTACAGAGAGGTGCCCGTCGCCTGGAAGAAGGTCAGGATCAGCTTGTTCTTGGTGACTTCTGCGTGAACGAAGCCTCCGAGCGTTGAAGCCTGGCCCGTGAAGAACTTTAAGGAGCCCTTAGGGACGTGGTTCCAGTGCCGGATGTCAGGATCTAGGAAGTTTCCAGCGCCGCTCACCACGTAGCCCACTCCAGACTCCTCCAGGTACTGTGGAAAAGCGAAGCTATGAAATAAAAGCACGTGCTTTTGAAACGATCTGCGCTCCTAGACCCACCTGCAGGTTGTGATCGTGGCCACAGACGTAAGCGGTGACGTTGTGTTCGATCAGCAGAGGGCGAAGACTTTTGAGTAAACACTCTGTGGGCCCGTGCTCCGACACTGACCAGACGGGATAGTGGCCTGCCACCAACAGGAAGTCTGCTCTGGAGCGAGCCAGTCGCTCCTGCAGCCAGACCAGCTGACGGTTGGCCTCCACGGCGTACGCGGGTCCTCTGGGCTGCTCGTCCACAAAGTCGTCCGAGTTACCGCACAGCACGATCGTGTCGAGCATGATGATGGTCAGAGTCTTCCCCGTGTTGGGAATGCGGAAGTTCAGCTCGTAATAGTAAGATGGGAATTTCCTGGAAAAGAATGTCAGACCTTTAGTTTGTTGTTTGGGAGCTTGTTTTTGCAGATCCGTCACCGGCTGCTCACCATCGGTCAGATTTAAGAGAGTAGTCAATCTGGGCTTTGACGTTCCCTGCATGGTCGTGATTCCCAGCCAGAACATACCACGGCACTCTGAGGGACTTTGCCGAGTAGACGGACTCAAAGGTTTCCTGATGGGGGAGGGATTCAGATAAATATCTGCCGCCGTTACGCTATTTCAGGTTATCACCTCACACCAGATGCTTCGCTGACCTGAAAGCGAGGGGAGTCCACGCTGTCCACACCTCTGTAGTAGAAATTATCTCCAAGGGCCAGGACGAAGTCAGCTCCCATCTGCTCCGCCACTGCATTCATCTCGTTAGCCGTCGTCTTCTGCACAGCGGTGACGTACGGCGGGTACGGCAGCCCGCCCCAGTCGCCTACAGCCAGGAACTTAATGGAGGTTCTGTTTCCTGGAGAGGCACAAAAACAAAAACCCATCAGGAGCAGGAACTTCCTGTTAGACGTCTGCAGGAGTCGTCGCTCAGGGGTACTCACCACCATTGTTCTCCAGGTCTTGGAAGACAGCCGGGAAGCAGTAAGTCATGGTCACGGCAGCAGTTAGGGCGGTTAGCAGCGTCAGAGCCATCTACAGAGAATAACAGACGTTCACGATCAGCTGACTGGGACACAAGTGAAAAGAAACGAGAAGAGAAGCAAAAACCAAGAATTCATCGTCTGGAAGAGCGAGTTTAGCAGCGCCTCAGCACACACCTCCTGCACTTCCTGCTTCTTCACTTCCGACTGCACTCAACGATCGTTTTATCCGACTGGTGGTGAATGGTTATTGGTCCAGCTCGATCAAATCAACACAACCATGTCAATGTGGCTGGAAGGGTCAGAGGTCAACGCTTGTTTATACCTTACTTCTTCTGAAAGACCATTTTAAGAGAAACAGTCCCGTTTAAGCTCAGCAGATAAAACACACAACTTCTACAGAAATGGTAACAAAAGGCAGTTTGAAGGTTGAACAGAGATGAAAACGCCAAAGACTTACGTCTGATGTCAGGAGAACAGCGCTCTGGACGCCTCCCTCCTCGTCTTTTATCAGCGCTGCAGGAGGAGCGGCAGGAGGCCACGCTGCAGAGGCATGATCATTGTTCACACCCTGACTCAGTGCCGGGACAACAAAGGGGTCATGTGTGAGCAACACGAGCCATTACGGCTCCCGTCTAGACGCTTGTTTTGTTTTTTCCATCTCAAGCACCAGCTTATAATTCTGTTAATCCAGAATGAAAGCATCTAAACGTGCCTTCGCTGTTTCTCTCCTGACTAAAACGTATAATAAAACACATTTCAAGTCAAACATAAAAAAAACTTTTCAGTTTATTTGAATGTTTGAGGAATCTGATGGAGACGGGAATATCTCTGATCACGTGACATGCCTTCACCCCTCTCCAAACACATCTGATTCCATTTGATCAATGTAGCGAGGTGAACTCTGACTCCGTTAAATAATTCGCATTTGGTTGCGTTTGCTGGTCACACGTGTAGCCAAGGGTGCCCACAAGGGCCATGGCCACCCCTAGAAAACTTCTGCCCCCCCCCCCCCCCCCCCCAATGTTAACAAATCATATTAATGTTCAGTCAAAGCAAATATTGATCTTGTTTGTTCAAGACATAATTGTCACAAAGAACATTACAATTAAAGAGTAAAGAAATAATCAGAATAAAAAAAAATATGTTTCCGCTGCTCACCATTTTAAACAAGTTTTTATCTCCATATTTTTTGTGAACACAGCAACAGGTGAGTTGACCTAAAAAATACAATTTTAAATTAAATTTGTGATAACATTTTAAAGGGATGTCATGGAAGTTTGACAGCCAAAACATGTATAGAAATAATAAATGTCTTCTTCATACATTCTCCTGCAATGCCCTGGTCCTGTAGAATGAGCCCTGGCATTTTTACTGTGATTGCCTGTTTTTCTGTAAAATCACAGAAAAAGAGAGATGCTCGGGTCGAGCAGGCTGCTTCATGCGCGTTCACGCTCAGGCATCGCCCGTAGCATTTGCTATCCGTAGATTTAGCAGCAGAGAGGCAGTGCCACTTTGTCGCTGTTCCTAACGCCTAGTGACAAACCTAGCTACATTTCTGAGGACCCTTAGCTACTTTCTGTAGAACTTTCTTCTAGATATTTCCTGCAAATTAGCAACAAAATAACCATTTTCGCTCCAAACCGTTCTTTGGTTTGACGTTGTTTCAGCTGTCATCAAGGATTTAAATGTTACAGATACTGTGAATGTTACTAGAGTGTAGCTCACCTTGTAAGATGTCTGACTCCCATGCAGAAGACCTGGGTTTGATTCTGGATGTGAACATAGTTTATTTAGAGTTTCTTTTTTACATTAATGGTATATTTTTTTACAGTAAGATGCCCAAATTTTTATTTGAGACTCGCCGAACGGCATTGAATTCACAGATAAAAAAGATGTGGGTTCAACTTCATTTTGGAACAATTTTTCAAGCAAGGGAAGGGAATGATCTGAGCATGCAGGACTGACCCATCATAAACCTTTGTCGGCTGTGCTGAAGAGAAAGGTACAGAACCAAATTATTTAATTAATTAGCTGCGTGTTCTGTCCTCTTGGCCACACACACACACTGGACTGTCTCAGCTATTATTTTCGTTAAGGAGTGTGCACGTACAGCATGCGCGCCTCGTGCACGAGTCTACTATTGAAGCTGCCATTACGCTTTTGGCCTGAGGGGGCACTAGCGAGCATAAAAATTCAAAAGTCCGTAAAGTCCCTCTAAGTAACTGAAATGTATTTTTCTAAAATGTTTGTATTTGTAAATTTTAAGTAAAACGTTTTGGATGCGTACTTTTGTTTTGGTAAAAACTAATAAAGGCGCAGTGCAGCGCATCGCTACAGACTAAATTCAACCAGAGTTACCACACGGAACAATTAGGTGTGCCACCCCAACAATTTCTTTGACCCCATCTGGCCAACCCATCAAAATTTTCTGAAGGCACCCCTGCATGTAACACGTAAGCACACGGGCTAAAGGCGGTTTAAACGAGTACTCGAGCTCATATCGGAACTCCTCTGACGTCAGCTGGAGGTTCTTCTTTCAAGGAAACGGAAAACTGCTGATCGCAGCGCTTTAGCAAAAACCAGAGCCGCTGTGATGACATCAATCACCTTTTATTTCAAAACAACAAGAACTTTAAATCTGGACCTTTTTCTGCTAATGAGCCGAAACAGAAGATTAAAAAAAAAAATCAACATAAACGAAGATCTGAAAAACTAAAAACATAACGGCGACAGAACAAAACTCCAACTCCACAGAAAACAGGATATGAAGGGTTGTTTTACAGAAGTGGCTTTTTAGGACTGAAGTCTCAGAGTGAAGCGGTGGGAGGATCAGAAGCTCGTGGCGTTGTATCCGGAATACGAGCCCTGGTGTTGTCCCTGGAAGCCCTGATAGGCGTTGAATCCCTGCTGACTCCCCCATGAAGACTGGTTCCCCCAGCCTGTAGAACGAGATCAAACACCGAGTCATTTTACCGCTCAGACAGCAGCAGCGCCACACACAAACCTCCTTTTCTCACCATATTCATTGTAGGAATGTCCTCCTGTGACAGAGCTGGGGTAAGCGGTGCTGTACATGTTATTGTCTCCCTGACTTTGGGTCAGCATCTTCTTCTTCTCGTCTCCGTAGCCGTAGCTGTACGGGCTCTGCTGATCACTGGGAGGAGGCATGGAGGTGAAGCCGTCCGGCTTGGTGCTGCCGGAGCTCGAGACGGGAGGGGAGGAGTAGGTGGAGGTGCTCTCGGGGTAAAAGGTGCCGTAGCCGGTGCCGCCCTGGGCGCTGCTCGTTGCTATGGCGCTGGCAGCGTTGCTCCCGTACAGCTTATCTGGGGGAGACCATTAAAGCGCGTCAGTGTCTCTGAGAGGAACTCCTGTTTTATTACAGACGGAAACATTTCTGCCGTGTTTACACAAAACTTGCTCCTACGCCTGGACGTGCTCACAAAGTCTGTCGAGAAAAACGACTTTTCATGATTTAATCGTATCTGAGCTGAAAACAGGAAAAGGTCTCCATCACAGAGAGAGACCGTGTAACACGATCAGTCACCCCGAGTTACACGTGCAAGCTGAACATGACAATATATGGTAAATGGCCTTCTAGAGTCCTGGAACCCCCCAAGGCGCTTTACAACACAATCGGTCATTCACACACTGATGGTGATGAGCTACGATGTAACCACAGCTGCCCCGGGGCGCACCGACAGAGGCGAGGCTGCCATACACAGGCGTCGCCGGTCCCTCTGACCCAAGGACACAACGACAGCGACAGACTGAGCGGGGCTCGAACCTGCAACCTTCCGATTGTGGGGCGAGCACCTGTGCCACCGTCGTCCACCATAAATATCACCATAAACTTTGAAGCCCGCGCGGTAATGATATTTATCGTGATATATTCTTTCCTTCTGTTGATGTAAAAAAAAAAGTTGGGAATCCTGTAAAAATGGAACGGCATTCACAGTCAGTAGCGTTAACGCAGACACGACTTCACTGCTGCCCAGAATCTTTTACTGAGGATGTTTTTCTGCTCAACACCTGACTCCTTAAACCCAAACCGGGTTCGTGTGGCCGACGTTACACCGTCAAATTTATAAGCGTGTCTTCATCCACGTGTTCCGGGCTGCAGCTGCTTTGGTCCGTCACGGTTGGCCGGTAGAGTCAAAACCACAAGCGGTGGCTAAATTTATACCCTCTCAACCGTAAACTGGTTATGCCGTGCGTTACTATTGAAGATCATGAGCTAGACCGCAAATCCTGTCTTTTTCTGTCCCGCTGTCCTCAGGATAACTTCTAGTTCCTGAAACAGAAGCAGCAGGGCAGAGTATCTGCAGGTTTAAGGGAGCCAAATTCAAGACTTTTAAAGACATTTTTTAAGGCGACTTTGACCAAATTTAAGCTATTTTAAAATTAAGTTTAAGCTATAATTTCCAGCTATAGCCTGGAACCGGTGCTAACCACGTCGCGAACGTGGGATTAGCCATCCAGTTACCATTAAACTTGCACTTCCCCATGGCGCAAGCTGCCGCTAGCTTAATCAGCTAATGTGCTCGTTTAAAAATAGCCCCCTTTCACAACCAGCTGAGTGTGTACGGTTCCGCTTACGCCAACAAAAAAAGCTGAACGCTAACTAGAAATTCACGAAAATTTTATAAAAATAAAAGAATCTTGTTTATTGGGTCTTTGGTAATTTAAGACCTTTGAAAGCTGTATTTAAGGATTATTTGTCATTTTTAAGGATTTTTAAGGCCTTAAATTTAGAAAAGCAAATTTAAGACTTTTTAAGGACCCGCGGATACCCTGGCAGGGAAAAGGACTCACAAGGCATTCATTTACACTAGAAACCACAGCCAGGGATGTCCCGATACAACTTTTTCACTTCCGATACGATAACGATATCGCAGCCTTCAGTATCGGCCGATACCGATATCAATTTGATGCGATATCAGCACAAATCACATGTACTTTTACCCGTTTCGTAGTGTGGAATGTATGAAAGGCTTGCTCAAGTGATATCACTCAATCGGAGAACAAGGGCCAATAACAGGAAGTATGAAAAATGTGAGCCTTAACGAGCCGCTTATATCGGAGTTTTTTGATGCAGTCCGATATAATCTGATAGTGCTTTTGGGCCGATATCGGAACGGGACATCCCTAACCACAGCAGGAGCATTTAAAATCGAGAGAATCTGAGCTTCAAGCCGTTATTCTACAGCCTCATCTGATTCTCCACTTCCTGTCTCCACATGCAGCAAAACGCAGACATAAGAAATAATCCAGGTGAGGAAAGAAAAGCTTCTCTGTTCCAACTCCAGCTGCATCCTAGCTACAGCTGGAGTGGATCAGACCTCTGAGCTCAAATGTTCAT